TATATATAGATATATATAGATATAGATATATATATATATATTTATTTATTTATTTATTTATTTATTTATTTATTTATTTATTTATTTATTTATTTATTTATTTATTTATTTATATATTTATTTATTTATTTATTTATTTATTTATAAATACTTATATGTATATATATATATATATATATATATATCCTTAAATCGTACCGTTAGTTTTGAGCCTACATAAGTATAGGATTATTGTTGCATCTTTTCATCTGCCTTGTGTCATCCCATGCATTCTCCAACACAGGTCGCATCAAACTGCAGATTGTTATCCTTGCAGCGGTTTACACCAGTGATTTGAGTTAATGGAAATAAGAGCTCGGGTTTATTAAAGAAAGTGTTGGCTAATCCCGAACGATGGTTGATAGATATGTGCACAAAAATAGATTGCCCTCAGAAAATTGCGCTTTTGACTCTAGATAAATAATTTCATTGAGGTCTCGGTAAATTTAAAAAAAAAATTATATGCATAAAACGTTTGCTAATATAAAAAAATAGTAGGAAGAAAATGTGTATTCTGTAGAGGAATACATTAAGGTCGCGGCTATTAATTATGCCAGACTTCATGCATGAGTAGAGTTGGACTTTTGTGTTACAGTGTGTGACAAATGGGAAGGTTTTCAGAAAGCGTGACGTCATACCTTTGTATAAAAAAAATTAAACTGAATTTAGCAGGTCCTTCACATTAGGGTGATTGGCCTTGTGTGTTATTGAGAGCACGTTTTATTATTTTTTGACGTTGCTATTGGTCGATATCTATAGCTCAGGTTTCCAGAAAAATGTACTACGGAAAACTACGCAAACAGAAAAATGCGCAAATACAAACTAATTATACTAAAACACTTCAATGTTTGTCATATTTCGTGGAAATATGTTTTATTATGCTATAATATACATGCAGTCACACTTTGTCTATAAATGCTCGATTTTAGAAAACCAAATTGCCATTGCGCATTTTTTGTGCGCAGTTTTCCGCTGCACATTATCCCGGTCACTTTATATCTCTTTATCAAATCCCTTTAGGTAAATTCTAATCTAAATTGATTATGACTGTGTGTATAGGTATCTTTTTCCTTTTTATTAGTAGATTTATTCTGTTAAAGCTATTGCTTCTAAAATATAGCACGTTAACAAATTGTTGATACAAGTATTGAAAGCGTTGCTGCTTAGGGAGCGTGGACAAGATTTAGCCCTGCCTGTGGAGCGTGGCTAGAGTGGCTCAGGGGATACACTCTTGGCTGCAATAGCGGCTTTCAAGCCATTCAGCCACTCATCGTTTAGTAACTTCTATCTTTGAATATTCAACCTCAGCGAGAAACGCCCAGATTAGTTGTGTCGATGTAGATAACATTTTTTTAAAGTGTTTACAGCAGTAAAATAGGCGTGGCGAGCATAAGATTGTTGAAGACATTGTTCACACATAAGTGAGGGCCAAGTTTTCTTAAAGCTTTCAATAAGAAGATTGGCTTTATTGGGTCGCTCACATTAGGAAGTTTGGCCTTATTGGGTCGCTCACATTAGGAAGTTTGGCCTTATTGGGTCGCTCACATTAGGAAGTTTGGCCTTATTGGGTCGCTCACATAAGGAAGTTTGGCCTTATTGGGTCGCTTACATTAGGAAGTTTGGCTTTATTGGGTCGCTCACATTAGGAAGTTTGGCCTTATTGGGTCGCTCACATAAGGAAGTTTGGCCTTATTGGGTCGCTTACATTAGGAAGTTTGGCTTTATTGGGTCGCTCACATAAGGAAGTTTGGCTTTATTGGGTCGCTTACATTAGGAAGTTTGGCTTTATTGGGTCGCTCACATAAGGAAGTTTGGCCTTATTGGGTCGCTCACATTAGGAAGTTTGGCCTTATTGAGTCGCTCACATAAGGCAGTTTGGCCTTATTGGGTGGCTCACATTAAGAAGATCGGCCTTGTGTGTTATTGAGAGCACGTTTTATTATATTTTAACGTTGCTATTGGCCAACCAAATAGATATGTATGTGTGTCTTGCTGTCGCATCACAATCCTGAACATGACAGACGCGCAATGAAAGTAAAAACAAAAGAAACCCCAGTCGGGCGCATCTAGTGTGTAGCCTAGACCTTGAGAAGGACGAGAGTTGCAACGAATTAACTTTGCTTTTAAAGTATTAAGCTGGTACATTGTTATTGGCGTGCCGATGTCGAGCTTTTAATGCTGGTCCTCTAACGATGCTCTTATCAACATATCGCAAACTATTTACAGCCAACATACAGAGCACAGGTTTAGAACCACCAACGGGATGGTAGAGCAACAACCACCAACGGGATGGTAGAGGAATAACCACCAACGGGATGGTAGAGGAACAACTACCAACGGGATGGTAGAGGAACAACCACCAAGAGATGGTAGTTGAAAAATTACCAAGGGATGGTATCTGACAAATACATGGATCAGTGCAGGACTAACAAACCCATCACCCATCTCAACTCTGAAGCTTTCAGTTAGCTGAGAATAACAAGTCATTTACTAACAACATGGATTACAGTGGTTCTTATAATCCTCTTAGGATGCACAACAATGCCACAAATTGATGATCTAATTTAAAAACCCAAACATCTCCCACAGTAAACACGTGACACCCAGTAGCGTCTTTAAGGCATTCACCGCCCCTCCCTTTAAACAAAAGAATAATCTTTACTTAACTGGCAAATCTAGTTCATTACATTTGATTTCACTTCCGTAGAATATCTTTTAGCAGGTATTTAGCAATTGTCACGCCAATCACGACTCGACAATTGCTTGTCCTTAATCGATCACTTATCCACTACCCACAATCAACTAACCATCCACAATCCCACATTATTCAGAGCAGTTTTCTCTCATTTTGTTTAAATCAGTTTTGTCCCATATTGATTAGATCAGTTTTGTCCCATCCATCTATATATATAATTCTCTTCTGGGAGACGCTAGAAAACAAGCTGTAAACGCGCTCCCTACCATCCCCACCCCTACATGGTCTTAGTGAGCTGTGGTTCACGCTATGTTTACCTTCGTGGAGTCGGGTTTAGTGACGGCTATTAGGGGCAGATAATTTAGTTTGAAACGATTTTAAATGTTGGGGGGGGGGGGGGGGGGGAGGAAGGGGGGGGGGGGGTTATAGTCCTTAACGAGCTACTTATAGTGTTTTAAAGAAATATTTTCAGTGTCAGCGTTGGTACTGTCGAATTCACAAATTATGAAGTTTTGTCCCACATTGTTTAGATCAGTTTTGTCTCATATTGTTTAAAGCCTAGACATACCCTCACAATAACAAGACAATGTTGCATGAGCCGAGTATTATAAAAAAAAATCCCGAGATGGGACCCGCTCAAATCTGAAAGCTCTACTCCCAACCCTCACCCCGCCCCCACTCTATCGTCTGCCACAACAATGCGAGACGGGTATATAAACAAGCAACGTCTACATAAAAACCATGCTGAACAAATGCAGTTATTACAATAGTAAAGATTTCATCCAGCAACTGCATCAAGATATCAGTCCTCAGCAAGCGTAAATGAGTGCGATAGGAACAAGAAAGTTGGTGCTCAAATCGTGCACTATGGTACTCACACTCTCGCTCTTTACACTTCTCGCTACACTGCTGGGCACAGGTTACCAACGTGAGTTAACTGGATGTTGCTTTTTTTTACACTATTCGCTCACCAAGTGTTGGTTAAAGTAGTCATGTTGTAGTAGTGGTCAAATGTTGTAGTAATGGTCAAATATTGTTGTAGTGGTCAAATATTGTAGTAATGGTCAAATGTTGTAGTAGTGGTCAAATGTTTTAGTAGTGGTCAAATGTTGTAGTAGTGGTCAAATGTTTTAGTAGTGGTCAAATGTTGTACTAGTGGTCAAATGTTGTACTAGTGGTCAAATGTTGTAGTAGTGGTCAAATCGTGTAGTAGTGGTCAAATGTTGTACTATGTTGTACTAGTGGTCAAATGTTGTAGTAGTGGTCAAATATTATAGCAGTGGTCAAATGTTGTAGTAGTGGTCAAATGTTGCTGCAGAGGTCAGATATTATTGTAGTGGTCAAAATCTGTAGTAAATGGTCGAATGTAGGAGTACTTTTGTTAATGGCATTTTTATTCAAATATTGATCTATTGGTCCTAATCAAATGTGTGTCCGTGTGAGTTAGTGTGTGTTTACATTCTAGTGTACGGGAAAGTTTAGGGGAGATCACTCCCGCTTCATTCTATGTTGCCATCCAGTGGGCTTCTGGTGGGTAGTTTTGGTCACACACTTGGTTTTATCAGTCACTGTCTAGCTTGTTTTAGTGTTCATGTTGGTAATTAGTTTTACCATAGCCTATCCCGGTGCCCCATAATATATATATATATATATATATATATATATATATATATATATATATATATATATATATATATATATATATATATATATATATATATATATATATATATATATATATATATATATATATATATATATATATATATATATATATATATATATCAAGTGTATTTTCATAAATGTCTTTACGATAGAAATATTACCAGGTAAAGCTTGAAATGTGTAGTTTTGACAGATTAAGAACGAATTGTCTAAAATCAAAACACATTAGGCATTCCAGGTAAACAACATAGGCCTACTCTTTGTATCTTTTATTTTCAATAGTTCTTTTGCTTTAAAGAATAGTTTGTTGCTAAAAACATTCTTTTTTAACATAATATATAACAAACTTTATTTGCAGCACAAAACAGTTTTATAAAACCTGATTCAAGCGTGTCACCTTTTCGCAATCCGACCCCACCGTACTTTGGAAGTAACAGAGGTCAGGTTTTCTCTGCAAAGTCAAGCTTCAAAACAAAGTGGCGTAACATAAATAGCGTAAGTATACTACAAATACTGATATAAAAGCTAAAAAAAAAGAAAAGTTTTAATCAATCAAATAGGCCTACTTCTAGAAACTATTATTTTCAATTTTTAATTCCAGAATTCGGAATCAAAAAGAAAATTACTAAAGAGACAAGCAAACAATCTAATAAGTACGGAATCTAGCCTAACAAGCACATCAATAGCAACGGAGAATTTAACTCCGGCAGGATCATCAGAAATGACTACGACCACTTCTTCCGTACCAACTACAACAATATCGCCACCAGCAATGTTATCCCTAACTACATCAGGATCAGTTAACACAGTATCTACCGAACTAAAAGCCTCCAAACTTATAACAACGCCAATATCCGAATCTACAACCACAAACATGACAGATACGGAATGTGACGACACTACTTCGACAGGAACAAATACACCAACAGCAGATTATCCAACAACTTCTCCTACATCAAGATCTACAACAACAAACTCAGAAAACACAATCAATCTAACAAAAGATTTCAAAACGACAAACGTTCTAGCAATAGCCTTCGAATCACCAACAACTTCCTCACCAACAAATGCCTCACCAACTACTTCCTCTCCAGCCACAGCCTCGCAAACCACAGCCTCGCAAACCACCACCTCACCGACCACTTCCTCACCAACAACACCTTCACCAACCACAGCCTCTCAACCCACTTCCTCACCAACCACAGCCTCAGCAACCACAGCCTCGCCAACAACTTCCTCACCATTCACAGCCTCGCCAACTACAGCCTCGCCAACAACTTCCTCACCATTCACAGCCTCGCCAACCACAGCCTCGCCAACCACAGCCTCGCCAACCACAGCCTCGCCAACCACAGCCTCGCCAACCACAGCCTCGCCAACCACAGACTCGCCAACCACAGCCTCGCCAACCACAGCCTCGCCAACCACCACTTCACCAACCAAAGCCCCTCCAACCACAGCTACGCCAAACACAGCTACACCAACCACTTCCTCATCAACAACAACCTTGTCAACCATAGCCTCGCCAACCACAGCCTCGCTAACCACCGCTTCACCTACCACAGAATCACTAACCACTTCCTCAACAACAACACCCTCAGCAACCACTGCCTCTCCAATAACAGCCTCACCAATCACTTCTTCACCAACAACAGCCTCACCAACCACAGCCTCTCCAACTACAGATTCAACAACCACTTCATCACCAACCACAGTCTCTCCTACTACCGCCTCACCAACCACTGCCTCGCCAACCACAGCCTCACTAACCACTTCCTCACCAACCACAGCCTCACCAACAACACCCTCAGCAACCACAGCCTCTCCAACTACAGATTCAACAACCACTTCATCACCAACCACAGTCTCGGCAACTACCGCCTCACCAACAACAACCTCACCAACCACTTCTTCACCAGATTCAACAACCACTTCCTCACCAACAACAGCCTCGCCAACCACAGCCTCGCCAACCACAGCCTCGCCAACCACAGCCTTGCCAACCACAGCCTCACCAACCACTTCTTCATCAACAACAGCCTCACCAACAACAGCCTCATCAAGCACAGCCTCTCCAATTACAGCTTCAACAACAATTTCCTCAGCAACAACACCCTCACCAACCACATCCTCACCAACCACAGCTTCCGCAACCACAGCCTCACCAACCACTTCCTCACCAACAACACTCTCAGCAACCACAGCCTCTCCAACTACAGCTTTAACAACAATTTCCTCAGCAACAACACCCTCACCAACCACATCCTCACCAACCACAGCTTCCGCAACCACAGCCTCACCAACCACTTCCTCACCAACAACACTCTCAGCAACCACAGCCTCTCCAACTACAGCTTTAACAACAATTTCCTCAGCAACAACACCCTCACCAACCACATCCTCACCAACTACAGCCTCGCCAACAACAACCTCAGCAACCACAGCCTCTCCAGCTACAGCTTTAACAACAATTTCCTTAGCAACCACAGCCTCGCCAACAACAGCCTTGCCAACCACAGCCTCACCAACCACTTCTTCACCAACAACGGCCTCACCAACAACAGCCTCATCAACCACAGCCTCTTCAACAACAGCTTCAACAACCACTTCCTTACCAACCATAGCCTCACTAATAACTTCCTCACCAAGTACCGCCTCACCAACCACAGCCTCGCCAACCACTTTCTCACCGACCACAGCTTCACCAACCACTTCCTCACAAAAAACACCCTCACCAACAACACCCTCACAAACAACAGCCTCACCATCCACAGCCTCGCCAACCACAGCCTCACCAACCACTTCCTCACAAACAACACCCCCGCCAACCACAGCCTCTCTAACAGCTGCTTCAACAACCATTTCATCACCAACCACAGTCTCGCCAACCTCAGGCTCTCCAACCACTTCCTCGTCATTCACAGCCTCGCCAACCACATTCTCGCCAACCACCGCCTCATCAACAACAGCCTCACCAACAACAGCCTCATCAACCACAGCCTCTCCAACTACAGCTTCAACAACAATTTCCTCAGCAACAACACCCTCACCAACTACATCGTCACCAACCACAACTTCGCCAACAACAGCCTCACCAACCACAGCCTCGCCAACCACAGCCTCACCAACCACTTCCTCACCAACAACACCCTCAGCAACCACAGCCTCTCCAACTACAGCTTTAACAACAATTTCCTCAGCAACAACACCCTCACCAACCACATCGTCACCAACCCCAACTTCGCCAACTACAGCCTCGCCAACAACACCCTCAGCAACCACAGCCTCGCCAACTACCGCCTCACCAACCACTTCCTCACCACCCACAGCCTCATTAACCACAGCATCACCAACAACTTCCTCACCAACAACAGTCTCGCCAACCACAGCCTCACCAACCACTTCTTCACCAACAACGGCCTCACCAACTAGAGCCTCGCCAACCACTTCCTCACAGACCACAGCTTCACCAACCACTTCCTCACAGACCACAGCTTCACCAACCACTTCCTCACAAACAACACCCTCACCAACAACACCCTCACCAACCACAGCCTCTCCAACTACAGCCTCACCATCCACAACCTCGCCAACCACAGCTTCACCAACCACTTCTTCACCAACAACAGCCTCACAAACCACAGCCTCACCATCCACAGCCTCATCAGCAACAGCCTCGCCAACAACAGCCTCACCAACCACAGCCTCGGCAACCACGTCCTCACCGAACACAGCTTTACCAACCACTTCCTCACAAACAACACCCTCACCAACCACAGCCTCGCCAACCACAGCCTCTCTAACAACTGCTTCAACAACCACTTCATCACCAACCACAGTCTCGCCAACAACATTCACGCCAACCACATTCTTACCAACCACATCCTTACCAACCACAACTTCGCCAACAACAGCCTCACCAACAACAACCTCACTAACCACTTCCTCACCAACAACAGCCTCGCCAACTACAGCCTTGCCAACCATAGCTTCCCCAACCACAGCCTCACAAACCACAGCCTCACTTACCACTTCCTCGCCAACAACGGCCTTGCCAACCACAGCCTCACCAACCACTTCTTCACCAACAACGGCCTCACCAACAACAGCCTCATCATTCACAGCTTCTCCAATAACAGCTTCAACAACCACTTCCTCACCGACCACAGCTTCACCAACCACTTCCTCACAAACAACACCCTCACAAACAACACCCTCACCAACCACAGCCTCTTCAACTACAGCTTCAACAACCACTTCATCACCAACCATAGTCTCTCCAACCACCGCCTCACCAACCACAGCCTCGCCAACCACAGCTTCACCAACCACTTCTTCACCAACAAAAGCCTCACCAACCACAGCCTCTCCAACTACAGCTTCAACAACCACTTCATCACTTACCACAGATTCACCAACTACAGCCTCGCCAACAACAGCCTCACCAACCACAGCCTCGGCAACCACTTCCTCACCGACCAAAGCTTCACCAACCACTTCCTCAAAAACAACACCCTCACAAACCACATCCTCGCCAACCACAGCTTCTCTAACAACTGCTTCAAAAACCACTTCATCACCAACCACAGTCTCGCCAACCACAGCCTCACCAACCACTTCCTCACAAACAACACCCTCAGCAACCACAGCCTCTACAAATACAGCTTCACCAACCACTTCCTCACCAGCCCCAGCCTCACCAATCACTTCCTCACCAACCACAGCCTCGCCAACTACAGCCTCACCAACCACAGCCTCGCCAACCACATCCTCACCAACCACTGCCTCACCAGTCCCAGCCTCACCAATCACTTCCTCACCAACCACAGCCTCGCCAACTACAGCCTCACCAACCACTTCTTCACCAACAACAGCCTCACCAACAACAGCCTCACCAAGCACAGCCTCTCCAACTAGAGCTTCAACAACAATTTTCTCACCAACAACACCCTCACCAACCACAGACTCTCCAACTACCGCCTCACCAACTACAGCCTCGTCAACAACAGCCTCACCAACCACTTCATCACCTACCACAGCCTCTCCAACTAGAGCTTCAACAACAATTTCCTCACCAACAACAGCCTCATCAACCACAGACTCTCCAACCACCGCCTCACCAACTACAGCCTCGTCAACAACAGCCTCATTAACCACTTCATCACCTACCACAGCCTCTCCAACTACAGCTTCAACAACAAATTTATCACAAACCACAGTCTCTCCTACTACCGCTTCACCAACTACAGCCTCACCAACAACAGCCTCGTCAACCACTTCCTCACCGACCACATCTTCACCAACCACTTCCTCACAAACAACACCCTCACCAACCACAGTCTCGCCAACAACAGCCTCTCCAACAACTGCATCAACAACCACTTCATCACCAACCACAGCCTCGCCAACCACAGCCTCTCCAGCCACTTCCTCATCATTCACAGCCTCGCCATCCACATTCTCGCCGACCACCGCCTCATCCACAACAGCCTCGCCAACCACATCCTCACCAACCACAGCTTCGCCAACCACAGCCATACCAACCACTTCCTCACAAACAACACCCTCAGCAACCACAGCCTCTACAAATACAGCTTCAACAACCAATTCATCACCAATAACAGCCTCGCCAACCACATCCTCACCAACCACAGCCTCACCAACAACAACCTCACCAACAACAGCCTCACCAACAACACTCTCAATAACCACAGTCTCGCCAACCACCGCTTCATCCACAACAGCCGCGCCAACCACATCCTCACCAACCACAGCTTCAACAACCACTTCCTCACCAGCCCCAGCCTCACCAATCACTTCCTCACCAACCACAGCCTCGCCAACTACAGTCTCACCAACCACTTCTTCACCAACAACAGCCTCACCAACAACAGCCTCACCAAGCACAGCCTCAACAACTACAGCTTCAACAACCACTTCATCGCCAACCACAGCCTCACCAACAACTTCCTCACCATTCACAGCCTCGCCAACCACATCCTCGCCAACCACAGCCTCACCAACCACAGCCTCGCCAACCACAGCCTCGCCAACCACCACTTCACCAACCAAAGCCCCTCCAACCACAGCTACGCCAAACACAGCATCACCAACCACTTCCTCATCAACAACAGCCTTGTCAACCATAGCCTCGCCAACCACAGCCTCGCTAACCACCGCTTCACCTACCACAGAATCACTAACAACTTCCTCAACAACAACACCCTCAGCAACCACTGCCTCTCCAATAACAGCCTCACCAATCACTTCTTCACCAACCACTTTCTCACCAAACACAGCCTCTCCAACTACTGCTTCAACAACCACTTCATCACCAACAACAGCCTCACCAACCACAGCCTCTCCAACTACAGATTCAACAACCACTTCATCACCAACCACAGTCTCTCCTACTACCGCCTCACCAACCACTGCCTCGCCAACCACAGCCTCACCAACCACTTCTTCACCACCCACAGCCTCACTAACCACTTCCTCACCAACCACAGCCTCACCAACCACAGCCTCGCCAACCACAGCCTCGCCAACCACAGCCTCACCAACCACTACTTCACCAACAACACCCTCAGCAACCACAGCCTCTCCAACTACAGATTCAACAACCACTTCATCACCAACCACAGTCTCGGCAACTACCGCCTCACCAACAACAACCTCACCAACCACTTCTTCACCAACTACAGATTCAACAACCACTTCCTCACCAACAACAGCCTCGCCAACCACAGCCTCGCCAACCACAGCCTTGCCAACCACAGCCTCACCAACCACTTCTTCATCAACAACAGCCTCACCAACAACAGCCTCATCAACCACAGCCTCTCCAATTACAGCTTCAACAACAATTTCCTCAGCAACAACACCCTCACCAACCACATCCTCACCAACCACAGCTTCCGCAACCACAGCCTCACCAACCACTTCCTCACCAACAACACTCTCAGCAACCACAGCCTCTCCAACTACAGCTTTAACAACAATTTCCTCAGCAACAACACCCTCACCAACCACATCCTCACCAACTACAGCCTCGCCAACAACAACCTCAGCAACCACAGCCTCTCCAACTACAGCTTTAACAACAATTTCCTTAGCAGCCACAGCCTCACCAACCACAGCATCACTAACCACTTCCTCACCAACAACAGTCTCGCCAACCACAGCCTCGCCAACAACAGCCTTGCCAACCACAGCCTCACCAACCACTTCTTCACCAACAACGGCCTCACCAACAACAGCCTCATCAACCACAGCCTCTTCAACAACAGCTTCAACAACCACTTCCTTACCAACCACAGCCTCACTAATAACTTCCTCACCAAGTACCGCCTCACCAACCACAGCCTCGCCAACCACTTCCTCACCGACCACAGCTTCACCAAACACTTCCTCACAAACAACACCCTCACCAACAACACCCTCACCAACCACAGCCTCTCCAACTACAGCCTCACCATCCACAACCTCGCCAACCACAGCCTCACCAACCACTTCTTCACCAACAACAGCCTCACAAACCACAGCCTCACCATCCACAGCCTCATCAACAACAGCCTCGCCAACAACAGCCTCACCAACCACAGCCTCGGAAACCACGTCCTCACCGAAAACAGCTTTACCAACCACTTCCTCACAAACAACACCCTCACCAACAACACCCTCACCAACCACAGCCTCGCCAACCACAGCCTCTCTAACAACTGCTTCAACAACCACTTCATCACCAACCACAGTCTCGCCAACAACATTCTCGCCAACCACATTCTTACCAATCACATCCTTACCAACCACAACTTCGCCAACAACAGCCACACCAACCACAACCTCACCAACCACTTCCTCACCAACAACACCCTCAGCAACCACAGCCTCTCCAACTACAGATTCAACAACCACTTCATCACCAACTACAGTCTCACCAACAACAACCTCACTAACCACTTCCTCACCAACAACAGCCTCGCCAACTACAGCCTTGCCAACCATAGCTTCCCCAACCACAGCCTCACAAACCACAGCCTCACTTACCACTTCCTCGCCAACAACGGCCTTGCCAACCACAGCCTCACCAACCACTTCTTCACCAACAACGGCCTCACCAACAACAGCCTCATCATTCACAGCTTCTCCAACAACAGCTTCAACAACCACTTCCTCACCGACCACAGCTTCACCAACCACTTCCTCACAAACAACACCCTCACAAACAACACCCTCACCAACCACAGCCTCTTCAACTACAGCTTCAACAACCACTTCATCACCAACCATAGTCTCTCCAACCACCGCCTCACCAACCACAGCCTCGCCAACCACAGCTTCACCAACCACTTCTTCACCAACAAAAGCCTCACCAACCACAGCCTCTCCAACTACAGCTTCAACAACCACTTCATCACTTACCACAGATTCACCAACTACAGCCTCGCCAACAACAGCCTCACCAACCACAGCCTCGGCAACCACTTCCTCACCGACCACAGCTTCACCAACCACTTCCCCAAAAACAACACCCTCACAAACCACATCCTCGCCAACCACAGCTTCTCTAACAACTGCTTCAAAAACCACTTCATCACCAACCACAGTCTCGCCAACCACAGCCTCACCAACCACTTCCTCACAAACAACACCCTCAGCAACCACAGCCTCTACAAATACAGCTTCACCAACCACTTCCTCACCAGCCCCAGCCTCACCAATCACTTCCTCACCAACCACAGCCTCGCCAACTACAGCCTCACCAACCACTTCTTCACCAACAACAGCCTCACCAACCACAGCCTCGCCAACCACATCCTCACCAACCACTTCCTCACCAGCCTTAGCCTCACCAATCACTTCCTCACCAACCACAGCCTCGCCAACTACAGCCTCACCAACCACTTCTTCACCAACAACAGCCTCACCAACAACAGCCTCACCAAGCACAGCCTTTCCAACTAGAGCTTCAACAACAATTTTCTCACCAACCACAGACTCTCCAACTACCGCCTCACCAACTACAGCCTCGTCAACAACAGCCTCACCAACCACTTCTTCACCAACAACAGCCTCACCAACAACAGCCTCACCAAGCACAGCCTCTCCAACTAGAGCTTCAACAACAATTTTCTCACCAACAACACCCTCACCAACCACAGCCTCTCCAACTACTTCCTTACCGACCACAGCTTCACCAACAACTTTCTCACAAACAACACACTCACCAACCACAGTCTCGCCAACCACAGCCTCTCTAACAACTGCTTCAACAACCACTTCATCACCAACCACAGCCTCGCCAACCTCAGCCTCTCCAACCACTTCCTCATCATTTGCAGCCACGCCAACCAATCTCTCGCCAACCACCGGCTCATCCACAACTGCCTCGCCAACCAGATCCTCACTAACCACAGCTTCGCCAACCACGGCCTCACCCACCACTTCCTCACCAACAACAGCCTCACCAACCACAGCCTCGCCAACCACATCCTCACCAACCACTTCCTCACCAGCCCCAGCCTCACCAATCACTTCCTCACCAACCACAGCCTCGCCAACTACAGCCTCACCAACCACTTCTTCACCAACAACAGCCTCACCAACAACAGCCTCACCAAGCACAGCCTCTCCAACTAGAGCTTCAACAACAATTTTCTCACCAACAACACCCTCACCAACCACAGACTCTCCAACTACAGCTTCAACAACAAATTTATCACAAACCACAGTCTCTCCTACTACCGCTTCACCAACTACAGCCTCACCAACAACAGCCTCGTCAACCACTTCCTCACCGACCACAGCTTCACCAACCACTTCCTCACAAACAACACCCTCACCAACCACAGTCTCGCCAACAACAGCCTCTCCAACAACTGCATCAACAACCACTTCATCACCAACCACAGCCTCGCCAACCACAGCCTCTCCAGCCACTTCCTCATCATTCACAGCCTCGCCATCCACATTCTCGCCAACCACCGCCTCATCCACAACAGCCTCGCCAACCACATCCTCACCAACCACAGCTTCGCCAACCACAGCCATACCAACCACTTCCTCACAAACAACACCCTCAGCAACCACAGCCTCTACAAATACAGCTTCAACAACCAATTCATCACCAACCACAGTCTCGCCAACTACCGCCTCTTCAACCACTGCCTCGCCAACCACAGCCTCACCAACCACAGCCTCACCAACAACAACCTCACCAACAACAGCCTCACCAACAACACTCTCAATAACCACAGTCTCGCCAACCACCGCTTCATCCACAACAGCCGCGCCAACCACATCCTCACCAACCACAGCTTCAACAACCACTTCCTCACCAGCCCCAGCCTCACCAATCACTTCCTCACCAACCACTTCCTCACTAACCACAGCCTCGCCAACTACAGTCTCACCAACCACTTCTTCACCAACAACAGCCTCACCAACAACAGCCTCACCAACAACAGCCTCACCAAGCACAGCCTCTCCAACTAGAGCTTCAACAACAATTTTCTCACCAACAACACCCTCACCAACCACAGTCTCTCCAACTACTTCCTTACCGACCACAGCTTCACCAACAACTTTCTCACAAACAACACACTCACCAACCACAGTCTCGCCAACCACAGCCTCTCTAACAACTGCTTCAACAACCACTTCATCACCAACAACAGCCTCACCAACCACAGACTCGCCAACCTCAGCCTCTCCAACCACTTCCTCATCATTTGCAGCCACGCCAACCAATCTCTCGCCAACCACCGGCTCATCCACAACAGCCTCGCCAACCAGATCCTCACTAACCACAGCTTCGCCAACCACAGCCTCACCAACCACAGCCTCACCAACCATGACTTCGCCAACCACAGCATCACCAACCCCTTTCTTAGCAACTACAGCATCAATAACCACAGCCTCTCTAACTACAGCTTCAACAACCACTTCATCACCAACAACAGCCTCACAAACCACAGCCTCTCCAACTACAGCTTCAACAACCACTTCATCTCTTACCACAGACTCACCAACTACAGCCTCGCCAACAACAGCCTTACCAACCACAGCCTCGGCAACCACTTCCTCACCTACCACAGCTTCACCAACCACTTCCTCAAAAACAACACCCTCACAAACCACAGTCTCGCCAACCACAGCCTCTCTAACAAATTCCTCATCATTCACAGCCTCGCCAACCACATTCTCGCCAACCACCTCCTCATCCACAACAGCCTCGCCAACCACATCCTCCCCAACCACAGCCTCACCAACCACTTCCTCACCAATAACAAGCTCAGCAACCACAGCCTCTCCAACTACAGCTTCAACAACAATTTCCTCAGCAACAACACCCTCACCAACCACATCCTTACCAACCACAACTTCGCCAACAACTGCCTCACCAACAACAGCATCACCAACAACAGCCTCACCAAGCACAGCCTCGCCAACTAGAGCTTCACTAACAACACCCTCAGCAACCACAGCCTCTCCACTTACAGCTTCAACAACTACTTCATTACCAACCACAGCCTCACCAACCACTTCCTCACCACCTACAGCCTCACCAATCACTTCCTCACCAACCACAGCCTCACTTACCACTTCCTCACCGACAACCGCCTCGCCAACCACAGCCTTGCCAACCACAGCCTCACCAACCACTTCATCACCAACAACAGCATCACCAACAACAGCCTCACCAAGCACAGCCTCTCCAACTAGAGCTTCAACAACAATTTTCTCACCAACAACACCCTCACCAACCACAGCCTCTCCAACTACAGCTTCAACAACCACTTCATCACCAACCACAGCCTCTCTTACTACAGCTTCAACAACCACTTCATCACCAACCACAGTCTCTCCAACTACCGCCTCACCAACTACAGCCTCGTCAACAACATCCTCACCAACCACTTCATCACCTATCACAGCTTCTCCAACTAGAGCTTCAACAACACTTTCCTCACCAACAACACCCTCACCAACCACAGCCTCTCCTACTACAGCTTCAACAACCGCTTCATCACCAACCATAGTCTCTCCGACTACCGCCTCACCAACTACAGCCTCACCAACCACTTCCTTACGGACCACAGCTTCACCAACTACAGTCTCGCCAACCACAGCCTCTCTAACAACTGCTTCAACAACCACTTCATCATCAACCACAGCATCGCCAACCTCAGCCTCTCCAAGCATTTTCTCATCATTCACAGCCACGCCAACCACATTCTCGCCAACCACCGGCTCATCCACAACAGCCTTGCCAACCACATCCTCACCAACCACAGCTTCGCCAACCACGGCCTCACCCACCACTTCCTCACCAACAACACCCTCAGCAACCACAGCCTCTCCAACTAAAGCTTCAAAAACAATTTCCTCAGCAACAACACCCTCGCCAACCACATCCTCACCAACCATAACTTCGCCAACCACAGCATCACCAACCCCTTTCTTAGCAACTACAATGTCGATAACCACAGCCTCTCCAACTACAGCTTCAACAACCAGTTCCTCACCACCCACAGCCTCGCCAACCACTTCCTCACCGACCACAGCTTCACCAACCACTTCCTCACAAACAACAGCCTCACCAACAACAACCTCACCAACAACACTCTCAATAACCACAGTCTCGCCAACCACCGATTCATCCACAACAACCGCGCCAACCACATCCTCACCAACCACAGCTTCAACAACCACAGCTTCACCAACCACTTCTTTATCAACAACAGCCTCACCAACCACAGCCTCTCCAACTACTGCTTCAACAACCACTTCATCACCAACAACAGCCTCACCAACCACAGCCTCTCCAACTACAGATTCAACAACCACTTCATCACCAACCACAGTCACTCCAACTATCGCCTCACCAACCACGGCCTCGCCAACCACTTCTTCACCGACCACAGCTTCACTAACCACTTCCTCACAAACAACACCCTCACCAACAACAGCCTCGCCAAGCACAGCCTCGCCAACCACAGCCTCGCCAATCACAGCCTCTCCAGCCACTTCCTCATCATTCACAGCCTCACGAACCACTTCCTCACCAACAACACCCTCAGCCACCACAGCCTCTCCAACTACAGCTTCAACAACAATTTCCTCAGCAACAACAGCCTCACCAACAACAGACTCTCAAACTACAGCTTCAACAACCAATTCATCACCAACCACAGTCTCGCCAACCACAGCCTCTCTAACAACTGCATCAACAACCACTTCATCACCAACCACAGCCTCGCCAAACACATTTTCGCCAACCACCGGCTCATCCACAACAGCGTCGCCAACCACATCCTCACCAACCACTTCCTCACCAACAACACTCTCAGCAGCCACAGCCTCTCCAACTACAGCTTCAACAACAATTTCCTCACCAACAACAGACTCTTCAACTACAGCTTCAACAACCACTTCATTACCAACTACCGCCTCACCAACTACACCTTCGCCATTGACAGCCTCACCAACCACACCCTCACCAACTACAGCTTCGCCAACCACAGCATCACCAACAACAGACTTTCCAACTACAGCTTCAACAACCACTTCATCACCAACCACAGTCTCACCAACGACAGCCACTCCAACCACTTTCTCACAAACAACACCCTCACCAACTACAGCCTCACCAACCACAGCATCACCAAACACAGCTTCTCCAACTATATCTTCAACAACCGCTTCCTCGCCAATCACAGCCTCACCAACATTACCAGCCACTTCATTCCCAACAACAACCTCGCTATCTATTTCGACAACAATTAAATTATTGTCTTCTCCGGGAAACTGCGACAATTTTATCAAAACAAACTTTTTAGCTTACCTTGCGTGCCTGTTGTGAGTTCACGTCTTCTTTTTTATTTGAATATTTTATAGAAACCAGAAGGATTTTAGTTTACTTAGTTTTTTGATGAAATAGTTTCACCTTACAACTATTTACTTTGAGTTTGATGAGCTAGTCTTTTTTTAAATCTATTTCATTTGTATTTGAGTTTAGTGTTCAACAAAATTCTGTGAAAACTTCAACACCAGTGCCATTAAAGACAACCACAAGTACCATAGCGAGTGCAAATATTCCTACAATGACAACTTTGTGAGTTTTCTTAGATCTCTGTGTGTTCTTCTAATTTTGTGCGTCTCCTTATCTATGTGTCTATGAGTGTCTATGTTTGGTTTTGTGTACATGCGACCTTGTTTGTGGTACCACTGAACTGTCACCGTGTGTCTGTGTGCGTGTTCATAAATATGTGCGTGCATGTGTTTGTAGAAAGTGGTCATGTGGGTGTGCGTATAGCTATTTTTCTCTCGCTTGTTATTTATGTTATGCATGACATGCTTGCATTTATATTTTATTTTAGAATAACTACAACTACAGTACCAACAACGAAGATATCAACAACCACACCACCTACAACCACTCAACCAACAACAACAACCACAGTACCAACAACGAAGACATCAACAACCACACCACCTACAACCACTCAACCAACAACAACAACAACTACAGTACCAACAACGAAGATATCAACAACCACACTACCTACAACCACTCAACCAACAACAACAACCACAGTACCAACAACGAAGATATCAACAACCACACCACCTACAACCACTCAACCAACAACAACAACCACAGTACCAACAACGAAGACATCAACAACCACACCACCTACAACCACTCAACCAACAACAACAACAACTACAGTACCAACAACGAAGATATCAACAACCACACTACCTACAACCACTCAACCAACAACAACAACCACAGTACCAACAACGAAGATATCAACAACCACACCACCTACAACCACTCAACCAACAACAACAACTACAGTACCAACAACGAAGATATCAACAACCATGCCACCTACAACCACTCAACCAACAACAACAACCACAGTACCAACAACGAAGATATCAACAACCACACCACCTACAACCACTCAACCAACAACAACAACCACAGTACCAACAACGAAGATATCAACAACCACGCCACCTATAACCACTCAACCAACAACAACAACCACAGTACCAACAACGAAGATATCAACAACCATGCCACCTACAACCACTCAACCAACAACAACAACCACAGTACCAACAACGAAGATATCAACAACCATGCCACCTACAACCACTCAACCAACAACAACAACCACAGTACCAACAACGAAGATATCAACAACCATGCCACCTACAACCACTCAACCAACAACAACAACCACAGTACCAACAACGAAGATATCAACAACCATGCCACCTACAACAACTCAACCAACAACAACAACCACAGGACCAACAACGAAGATATCAACAACCACGCCACTTACAACCACTCAACCAACAACAACGATCAAGCTACTTTTGGCAGGTGGATCATGTGACCAATATATCAAAACAAATATTATATTTTATCTCTCGTGTAAAATGTAAGTTTACTCCAAATTTTTACTTTCTTGTAATTACATTGATATTTTTTTTTATATTTCATTTTTGTGTCTCCATAGGCACTCATTTATTTATTTTTTTCATTTATTTATGCTAATTACTTTTGATAAATTAATTTAGCTACTTAAAAACATTTTATTTAGACTAGTCAATTTTGAAAAAGTTGAAAAACAACTTTCATGTTGTTAGTTTTTGGAAAAATTACATTTTCATTTAGTCTCTTTAATAACTAATTTAGTTAAATTAATTTAAGTAATAAATTTTATTTAACCACTGTATGAAAAAAAACGTAAATGGTATCACGGGTATCTCAAATATCAGCTCGTTATGTTTGTGGGATAGAATCTAATGAAGCGATTTAAAACACTACCACGTAGATTTAAAGGCTTTACACAAAATATTTTTTCTGTTTATTTTTAGCATTTTTGGTTGAATCAGATGGCGGAAACATGTCCCACATACAGCGTTATGTGCACGATGTACCCAAGTTGTGTAGCGACCGCGAGACATTGTTGATGATGCACATCTAGAAATCAAATAGCATATATCTAACATTTTTACTAACAAAAAAAATCTAAATAAATTAATTATTTTGAGCTAGCATTAATCATTTAATCAATTTTTAAAATACTTGTATCTTACTTAACTTAACTTACAATATTAATAGTTATTATTTTTATTGCTATCGTTGTTTCTTGAAATACCTAAAACTAATAATTTAAGCCAATAAGCTTTAAGTAAAGCTGCATCATCAAGCTTAATTTTAAGCCTGAGCACTTATAAGATTGAAACCAGCACGATTTGAATTTTAACTTATCTTTCAACAGCAAATAAGTTATTATGGCATAATTAACTCAGTGGCTCTTAACCTGGGTTTGATCGAGGTGTTTGGTGAGTCAGCTCACGGGTTCGGTGAGTCAGTCTCACTGGTTCGGTGAGTCTCACGGGTTCGGTGAGTCAGTCTCACGGGTTCGGTGAGTCAGTCTCACGGGTTCGGTGAGTCAGTCTCACGGGTTCGTTGAGTCAGTCTCACGGGTTCGGTGAGTCAGTCTCACGGGTTCGGTGAGTCAGTCTCACGGGTTCGGCGGAGGTCGAGATATAGGCCTGACTCATGTGATGCACAATCGAATTCTGTCAGTGCTGACGATACCTCCAAAAAGGTTGAGAACCACTGTGTTTTCTTTTAATCCTACTTAGTCTCCTTTATTATTGTCTGAAACCTTCTTTTCATTTGAATTGATTTGCAGCTGAAATGGTAATTAATTTTGATCTTGGGTCTAGAAAATAAAAGCTATACAAGATTATGTATTTATACTATTACTGTAGTTTTCCAGTTAGCCTTTTAACATTTTATAAACTATTCCACATTTACAAATAAAATATTTAAATCCATTTGAGTTTGAGTGTTAAGGGATCATTTTTATAATATATATATATATATATATATATATATATATATATATATATATATATATATATATATATATATATATATATATATATGTGTGTGTGTGTGCGTGTGTGTGTGTGTGTGTGTGTGTTGCATATGTCTGTCTGTGTCTGTTTGCACGTGTGTCTGTGTGTGATTACAACGTTTGTGTTTTGGCCTCAGTTGTTTAAGCTGTTTGTGTTATAACACTAAATTTATTATATTGTAATGTAATGATGGCCATTGTTTCTATAGATCGTACCCTACACACAATCCAAAGTATGAAACAAAAAATACTGTTCAAATGGCTCTCAATTATAATATATCTCTGGGTTGCATTTTTATATCAACCAAATTTTCCACGTTTTTTTTCTTTGCTTCTAGTTCCATGAGCATATATCACTTAAAGCATAATTATTGGTTAGATTAATGAATGAAATGCACTTTTTTGCATCAATTAGATTGAGACCGCAGTCAGAAAAAAGATTATTAGAAATACTCGATGCTACTAATTCAAGCGTTGTACATTTTTCTTGCACACAGGGGAGGGAATATTTTTTTCGTTTATTTGAATATTAAACAAGTTACTTCCCTTACGTTCTGCTCAATTATAAATTTTTTTTAAAACTTATAATTACGTAATGATCAATATATTTTCAATTTTTTAAAGTAGGTTAAAACAAATATAATATGAGACATAAATGTACAATAGCAAATGGCAGTAGATATATTTAAAACATTAAGTGTAAATGCTTGAATGCATGTATTCTTTCGACTGATTTGATTTCGTTGGCCGTGTTGAAATTGTCTCTTGACCCGTACAACGTTTAGGGTGTTTTTAATCCGTGCGGTGCAAACGGTATTTCCTGTATTCTGTTCCAATTGTAACGGTATTTCTAGATCAGTGATCGACCAGTAATCCGAACAAGCATTTATCTTTTTACAATGACATTGAGACATCAAGTAATGAATTGATAAAAAATCTAACGAAACAACTTGTCAAACCCACATTACCTCCCTTAGCGCGCGTATGACCACAACAACATAAATAGTGAGATCTCAGTTTTCAATTTCAAGTTCACTGAATAGTAAACCATAAAAAATTATCCGGTACTCTATAATATCTTTCACATGTTTTAAGTGAAACAAATGAACTCTAATACATTTGCCCCGTAGATCGTCATGTTCAAAAGAGAATTCACTAAACTTTTCATATAGTACATTTTAAAAACAACTTTACTTCTTATACATAAACTAAACCACTTTACATCAAACATAAACTAAAACTCGAAATCATTACTTTCTCGTATATACGAAGTATACAGAAAGTCTTGTAATCGTGCAAAAAAATCTCGACGTTTTACACCTCACTGATACGGAAAAACATACTTTTGCAATCTTGTCCGTATGTCTGTGTGTATGTATGTGTGTGTCTGTGTCTGTGTGTGTGTCTGTAAACACGATAACTTGAGTACCGTTACAGCTAGGTTAATGAAATTGAATATATAAGTATTATATCAAAATCGTAGATCCGTATCAACTTTTGAGCGATTTCCGATAAGCGGAAATGGTACTTTTTCTACTTTGAATTTTTCTAAAGCATATAACTCGAGTACTATTTCTGAAAGATATATGAAATTTCACATGTAAGTAAAAGATCTAATTCTTTACCTTCTGACAAATTTTGAGTAATTTCCGTTGACCGGAAGTACTAATTTACGCTATTTCCGATTTCTCAAAAACTAATGTAAATTTATAAAGTACTAATAATATTCCGCACTATTATGCACATTTTATTTGGTGTTCACTGGTGTGAAATTCGTTTTTTTTTACGAGATTTTATTCTATTTTAAAAAGTTTAAGTATTTAAAATGGATTAAAATTTATGTCTATATCCCGAGTTCCCATCTTCTGTTTTTTTTATAAAAAAAATATTCGAGAAAGCTTAGGGGAGAACACTCCCGGTTTATTTTTAAATCGAGATCTAGAGGGAAGCCAAACCATGCTTGCTCCTTATTCAACGTACATTAAATAAAACGGGAGTGATATCCCCTAAATAATTTTTTTTGTATATTCATTTTTTTAAAACAATAGAATCGAATTGAAAGAGGTAAAGCGCACCACGTGAACGCAAACAACGTGAAAATTAGTGTTTTGCAAAGGAAAGAGGGATTATATTTTTAAATATCTAATTGGTTTTTTTATGTCACAAAGCATTGTCTTTGAGTATTGACTTGCGTGAAAAGTTTGAAAGATATTTGTCCAGTAGAAATGGTCGAAATTTCGCTCGCAAGTTTCCGTCCATGACGGACGATAAACAAATAAATTAAGATAAATTAACTCTTATGGTTTTTTTTTATAAACCGTTAATAGCGAAAAGTCAGAGGAAATTACTTAAAATTGGACAGAAACCAGTGAATAATAAAATAGAAATTAAGTTCCACTTCCTTCCAACAGGGATCACTCAATAATTCACAGTACGATTTTAAAGCTACAAATGAAATTTCGTTAACCTAAATGAAGCAGCACACAGGTTATCACAGTCATAGAATTAAAATACCATTTCCGCTTAGTGGAAATCGTTCAAAAGTTTATAGAGACCTGCACATACAATTTACTTCCCTTATGTAATGTTTCATATACCTAACATGAACGGTACTCAAATTATCAGCATTTGTGAAACTGGAAGTAGAGTGCATACCATTTCCGGCTACCGGAAATCACTCAAAAATTGATTTAAAAAACTACACATTTTATAATGTATATATATATATATATATATATATATATATATATATATATATATATATATATATATATATATATATATATATATATATATATATGACATTTCTTAAACATAGCTGAAACGTTGCTCAATTTAACACACACAGACATTGACAAATTGCAAAAACCAAGTTTTTTCGATCAGTATGTGTAAAAATTCGAAGTTTGTTAAAATCTCAATTTCGGTTTCTTGCACGAATACAATATTTCCTCTATACTTCTATACCATCCCCTGTACACATACATGTACGCGTATGCGGCATATATTTAAATTATAAACCTATGTAGGCCGACATATATATATATATATATATATATATATATATATATATATATATATATATATATATATATATATATATATATATATATATATATATATATATATATATATTTTTTTATTGGGGGGTGGGGTGACACCATGAATTGCTGCACCGGGTAAAACCCGACCTAGCGACGCCACTGCTTCCAACGGAATGTAGCGTGGTCTGTAAAGAAATGTAGCGAGGTTTGTAAAGAAATGTAGCGTGGTTTGTAAAGGAATGTAGCGTGGTTTGTAAAGAAATGTAGCGTGCTTTGTAAAAAAAATGTAGCGTGGTTTGTAAAGAAATGTAGCGTGGTTTGTTAAGAAATGTAGCGTGGTTTGTAAAGAAATGTAGCGTGGTTTGTAAAGAAATGTAGCGTGGTTTGTAAAGAAATGTAGCGTGGTTTGTAAAGAAATGTAGCGTGGTTTGTAAAGAAATGTAGCGTGGTTTGTAAAGAAATGTAGCGTGGTTTGTAAAGAAATGTAACGTGGTTTGTAAAGAAATGTAGCGTGGTTTGTAAAGAAATGTAGCGTGGTTTGTAAAGAAATGTAGCGTGGTTTGTAAAGAAATTAGCGTGGTTTGTAAAGAAATGTAGCTTGCTTTGTAAAGAAATGTACCGTGGTTTGTAAAGAAATGTAGCTTGGTTTGTAAAGAAATGTAGCTTGGTTTGTAAAGAAATGTAGAGTGGTTTGTAAAGAAATGTAGCGTGGTTTGTAAAGAATGTAGCTTGGTTTGCAAAGAAATGTAGCGTGGTTTGTAAAGAAATGTAGCTTGGTTTGTAAAGAAATGTAGCGTGGTTTGTAAAGAAATGTAGCGTTGTTTGTAAAGAAATGTAGCTTGGTTTGTAAAGAAATGTAGCGTGGTTTGTAAAGAAATGTAACGTGGTTTGTAAAGAAATGTAGCGTGGTTTGTAAAGAAATGTAACGTGGTTTGTAAAGAAATGTAGCGTGGTTTGTAAAGAAATGTAGCAAGGTTTGTAAAGAAACATACCGTGGTTTGAGGAGTCCAGCATACTACATCAGCCCTCGCCTCCAACCGCCTCCTCAGCGTACGACGATATTTGGCCGCGCGGTGCAGTAGCGCTCCTTGTCTTTCTCCACGGGTTAATCCTTACTTGAGACTTTTGGAAGACGAAATACGTTTTCGATTTACTATTGACTAGAAATTATAGGCATAAAAACTGTAGACAAAAGTATTGACAATTATTTTAATGATTGACTATAAAACTAAGGATTTATTTCACGTGGAAGTTGAAAGTTAACCATCGATTACATGTAAGTGATACATTTTGTGTGTAAATGTTACGACTCGATTTTATTAACATACATAGTTAAGCATTTAAAATTAGCTATTGTTTTTTTTTAAATTGCTGCAATTAGAAGAAACGGCTTCTTTAAGTGTGTTGTTTTCTTTAGAATTTAAAGATTCCTATCATCTTAACTCTCTAAGAATATCAAATAAGAAAAGCGAACAGCCGTATTGAATGGGCAAAACATCTTACTCTAGCGTACAGCCTGTTGTGGTAACGCTGTTGTTCTTACGATAACCACTGAGCTAGACAGACAAAAGATTTTTTTCTCCACTGATACCGGTATTTTGATTTGGTGATCCGTACGCCGTCTTTTCTTCAACCTCACACAGACTAGACCTATGTACTTAGGTCATACGACTAGACCTGTGTAGATCATGGAAATAGACCTATGTACTTAGGTCATACGACTAGACCTGTGTAGATCATGGAAATAGACCTATGTACTTAGATCATGGGACTAGACTTATGTACTCAGATTATGGGACTAGACTTATGTACTTAGATTATGGGACTAGGCCTATGCACTTAGATCATACGACTAGACCTTTGTAGATCATGGAAATAGACTTATGTACTTAGATCATACGACTAGACCTATGTAGATCATGGAAATAGACTTATGTACTTAGATCATGGAAATAGACTTATGTACTTAGATCATACGACTAGACCTATGTAGATCATGGAAATAGACTTATGTACTTAGATCATGGGAATAGACTTATGTACTTAGATCATGGGACTAGACCTATGTATTTAGATCATGGGACTAGACCTATGTACTTAGATCATGGGACTAGACCTATGTACTTAGATCATGGGACTAGACTTATGTACTTAGATCATGGGACTAGACTTATGTACTTAGATCATGGGACTAGACCTATGTATTTAGATCATGGGACTAGACCTATGTACTTAGATCATGGGACTAGACTTATGTACTTAGATCATGGGACTAGACTTATGTACTTAGATCATGGGACTAGACTATGTACTTAGATCATTGGACTAGACTTATGTACTTAGATCATGGGAATAGACTTATGTACTTAGATCATGGGACTAGACCTGGTACATCTGATGGGCCGTGTGAAGATTGTAATAACATGGTGCATCTGATGAGTTGTATCTAGATTCTAAAAAAAATGATAGCTCTAATGGGCCGACTGTTAATTATAAAAAAGAACAAAGTAGATCTGATAGACAAGTGATGATTGTAAACAATTGATCGGCTTCTCAATATATAAATACCTCCTTACACAAGACTCGCATTACACAATTACCACCTTACATAAACCCTAAACTCCCCTAAACTTTATCGAATATTCTTATATGACACTACGGGGGATGACAACTCGTGATATAGACAATATTTTAAATCCAGTTTTAATTACTTAATCTTTTTAAAATAGAATAGAATCTCGTAGAAAAAAGAATTGCACAACAAGTGAATGCCAAACAAAATGTGTATAATAGTGCGGAATATTATTAGTACTTTATAAATTCACATGCGTTTTTTAAGAAATCGGTAATAGCGTAAATTATTATTTTCTGTTAACGGAAATTACTCAAAATTTGATAGAAGGCAGAGAATTAGATCTTTTACTTACATGTGAAAGGTCATTTATCTATCTGAAATAGTACTTAAGTTATAGGCTTTTGAAAAATTGCCACTTCCGGTTATCGGAATTCGCTGAAAAGTTGATACAGAATTACAAATTTGATATAATACTTTTATATGAAATTTCATCAACCTAGCTGTAACGGTACTCATGCTATCGTGTTCACAGACACACATACACAGACACACATACACACATACACACACATATATACGGACAAGAGTGCAAAATTATGTGAAAACGTCTTTGCAAAAATCTCGATTTGTAATTATTTATTTTTTTGCACGATTACAGTATTTTCTATATTTTCTATATACTTCGTATACGAGAAAGTAACAAGACTCACACTTCACAATTACCACCCTACGCAAGACCCGCATTACACAATTACCACCTTTAAACAAGTTTTACCTCATTTTGCACTATTGTTTCTTGTAATGTAGTCTAGCAGTAAAAAATAAAACAACTATTTACGGATCAATTTTTCATTTAAATAAACCGGGAGTGATCTCCCCTAAACTTTCTCGAATATTCTTATATAACATAACAGGGGATGGGAACTCGGGCTATAGACATGATTTTTATATGGACATAATCCATTTTAAATACTTAAAGTTTTAAAAATAGAATAAAATCTCGTAGACAAATTAATTGCACACCAAGTGAACGCCAAATAAAAAGCGCATAATAGTGCGCAATATTATTAGTACTTTTAAAGTTTACATTAGTTTTTTGAGAAATCGGAAGTAGCGTAAATTACTACTTCCAGTCAACGGAAATTACTCAAAATTTAACAGAAGGTAGAGAATTAGATCTTTTACTTACATGTAAAATTTCATTTATCTATCTGAAATAGTCCTCAAGTTATAGGCTTTTGAAAAATTCAAAGTAGGAAAAGTACCACTTCCGGTTATCGGAAATCGCTCAAAAGTTGATACGGATCTACAATTTTGATAAAATACTTATATATGAAATTTCATCAACCTAGCTGTAACGGTACTCAAGTTATCGTGTTTACACACGGACAGACAGACAGACAGACACACACACACACAGACACACAGACATACGGACAAGATTGCAAAATTATGTTTTTCTGTACCAGTGAGGTGTAAAACGTCGAGATTTGTAAGAATCTCGATTTATTTTTTTTTTGCACGATAACAAGACTTTCTCTATACTTCGTATATACGAGAAAGTAAAAAGTGTGAACACATAAACCTAAGTGTCTATCTTAGCTGTATTCTATAGGGTATGAATTTTGATATGCAACAATAGCTCTGTTTAAAGCAACAAATTAAGACTGTTTATATCTTAGAGGAGGTTTGAGAAATGTTGGATACTTAGCCCAGTTGTATGGGTGAGAGAAATGTTGGATACTTAGCCCAGTTCTACGGGTGAGAGAAACGTTGGATACTTAGCCCAGTTCTACGGGTGAGAGAAATGTTGGATACTTAGCCCAGTTCTACGGGTGAGAGAAACGTTGGATACTTAGTCCAGTTCTACGGGTGAGAGAAATGTTGGATACTTAGCCCAGTTCTACGGGTGAGAGAAACGTTGGATACTTAGCCCAGTTCTACGGGTGAGAGAAATGTTGGATACTTAGCCCAGTTCCACGGGTGAGAGAAATGTTGGATACTTAGTCCAGTTCTACGGGTGAGAGAAATGTTGGATACTTAGCCCAGTTCTACGGGTGAGAGAAATGTTGGATACTTAGCCCAGTTCTACGGGTGAGAGAAACGTTGGATACTTAGTCCAGTTCTACGGGTGAGAGAAATGTTGGATACTTAGCCCAGTTCTACGGGTGAGAGAAACGTTGGATACTTAGCCCAGTTCTACGGGTGAGAGAAATGTTGGATACTTAGCCCAGTTCCACGGGTGAGAGAAATGTTGGATACTTAGTCCAGTTCTACGGGTGAGAGAAATGTTGGATACTTAGCCCAGTTCTACGGGTGAGAGAAATGTTGGATACTTAGCCCAGTTCTACGGGTGAGAGAAACGTTGGATACTTAGCCCAGTTCTACGGGTGAGAGAAATGTTGGATACTTAGCCCAGTTCCACGGGTGAGAGAAATGTTGGATACTTAGCCCAGTTGTATGGGTGAGAGAAATGTTGGATACTTAGCCCAGTTCTACGGGTGAGAGAAACGTTGGATACTTAGCCCAGTTCTACGGGTGAGAGAAATGTTGGATACTTAGCCCAGTTCCACGGGTGAGAGAAATGTTGGATACTTAGCCCAGTTCCACGGGTGAGAGAAATGTTGGATACTTAGTCCAGTTCTACGGATGAGAGAAATGTTGGATACTTAGCCCAGTTCCACGGGTGAGAGAAATGTTGGATACTTAGTCCAGTTCTACGGGTGAGAGAAATGTTGGATACTTAGCCCAGTTCCACTGGTGAGAGAAATGTTGGATACTTAGCCCAGTTCTACGGGTGAGAGAAATGTTGGATACTTAGCCCAGTTCTACGGGTGAGAGAAATGTTGGATACTTAGCCCAGTTCCACGGGTGAGAGAAATGTTGGATACTTAGTCCAGTTCTACGGATGAGAGAAATGTTGGATACTTAGCCCAGTTCCACGGGTGAGAGAAATGTTGGATACTTAGTCCAGTTCTACGGGTGAGAGAAATGTTGGATACTTAGCCCAGTTCTACGGGTGAGAGAAATGTTGGATACTTAGCCCAGTTCTACGGGTGAGAGAAATATTGGATACTTAGCCCAGTTCTACGGGTGAGAGAAATGTTGGATACTTAGCCCAGTTCTACGGGTGAGAGAAATGTTGGATACTTAGTCCAGTTCTACGGGTGAGAGAACTGTTGGATACTTAGCCCAGTTCTACGGGTGAGAGAAATGTTGGATACTTAGCCCAGTTCTATGGGTGAGAGAAATGTTGGATACTTAGTCCAGTTCTACGGGTGAGAGAAATGTTGGATACTTAGCCCAGTTCTACGGGTGAGAGAAACGTTGGATACTTAGCCCAGTTCTACGGGTGAGAGAAATGTTGGATACTTAGCCCAGTTCCACGGGTGAGAGAAATGTTAGATACTTAGCCCAGTTCCACGGGTGAGAGAAATGTTGGATACTTAGTCCAGTTCTACGGGTGAGAGAAATGTTGGATACTTAGCCCAGTTCTACGGGTGAGAGAAATGTTGGATACTTAGCCCAGTTCTACGGGTGAGAGAAACGTTGGATACTTAGCCCAGTTCCACGGGTGAGAGAAATGTTGGATACTTAGTCCAGTTCTACGGGTGAGAGAAATGTTGGATACTTAGCCCAGTTCTACGGGTGAGAGAAATGTTGGATACTTAGCCCAGTTCTACGGGTGAGAGAAATGTTGG